CTGCAACCACCGAACAACGATGATTTAGTATTTTTTATAATAAATAAATTTTAAGCCTGCCTCCAACCTGTCCCTACCTTTTGAATCAACATCAAAACCTAATTAAGAAATAGTGTTTCAGATTTTTTACAATTTGAAATAATCATTAACAGATTCTATTAATTTATTTAAGGAACTATTGATATTATAACGAAAAGGAAGAAGTTATAGGCATTTTTAATAACAACAAACCAAGTGGCAAGGCCTAAATTGAAAGCTAATTATTCATAATCCAAACTGTTTTGTAAAAAAATACAACTAATTGTATAACTGCTGCATTGTGGTAAGAAAAACTGACAATGAAAGAAATTGTTTTCGGGTTTTCCTACCTACTTAGTGGTTTTATTACTTGAATGAATATTCACAATAAATGAAGTTGATTTTCTCTAGAGGTTTAAGACATTTACTATGAATGACACAGAATAATATCTATTAACGAACAAAATAATACATTGTTGTAGATATTTACGTAATTATAACCAAAACTTTGATGTAATGAAGTAAACCCTTCGGATGCATCGCGGGTGACTAACTCAAGTATGCAAGTTTACTTGTTATAAACTAGTCGATGCACCTGATTGGTTATTACGTCGGCGGCCATTTTGCGATTCCTTAAAAGTAGGTCAATTCAGTGCACCTGCACCCAAAAAAACGGAAGTAAACAAAGTATTAGGCGCCACCATACGAGTTGAAGTAGGGAAACTTTGAATAGGGGTAATTCGGTTATTTCTGAAGCGATTTAGATGCCGTTTTCACCAAAATTTAGGAAATTTAATAATATTCATAACGATTTAATTCAGGGTTATATTAGATAAATATTCCGATGGGAATCAAACGTTCAGTTTGTTGATGTTTTAATACTAAAATGGTCAATACAAAAATAGTAAAAGGTCAAATATAAACACTTAATATTTAAACATTGACCAAAGGGGCTTAAAATACTAACCTGTTAAATACAAGCCATTGATATTTTGTATTTGGAGTCATTATTACAAGTTAGGTGCAACGTTATTTCCTGGGTCGACCTTGCAAACAATAGGAAATTTATCATTATCGGTGGACCATTATGTCAGTCAGTGTCCGTCACCTCAACCGCAAAGTTATGGCCAGTAAATAAATAACTGACGACGACAACGAGATCGAACGAGCGATGACCGTGCGTGTAGAGTATACACATTATTAAAGGCAATTCGGAAAATGACGGGAAAAGGTAACAGGTTTTTGACCGTATTATGAATGATTTGCTGCGTCATTTGCTATCTACTGAACCACACTCTAATGACCAGCGAGTGAACAAATAAAGCCACAGAACGAAGGTTTTGTTGTTTAATGCTCATTTTACACTCTACGAAAGGACCTCAGTCGAAATTATCATTACTCACAGAGGAGTTCAAATTGATCTACAGTGGAATTCGTATATTATGACTCCGCCTATATTGACTAACCGCTTATTATGAAGTAATTGCAGTGTTAAGTTTGGTTTTCATATTAATTTCTCTATAGGGAACTTTGGATTTAATGACTTCGTTTAAAGTGACATATCGTTTATTATGACTGATTCTCAAGAAATCATATCCGGCTATAGTGGCCTAAATGATTAATAATAACATTCTCGCTCATTTTTCTGACCCTTCTTATGTATATTGCTATTACAATTCATCGTTCTTTTTCTTTTTCTGTTAATAAATATATACAATTTGTAGTTTTTCTCTCTATTAAACTAAATAACTAATCGTAATAGAAAGTTGTTTATTATCTAAGACTATGCTTTGTATGACGCCCGCATTGTATAACCAAATTTGGACGGGTTAGACTAGTATTAGTTATTATAAGAAACAATAGAACAAAAAGTAAGTAATAAGCAAACGGTAATCTTCTACTTTACAAATAAACGGAAGTCAAAGCTGAGCACAAGTACAAGCGTAGGTACACTTTCCGGATGTGATTCTAAGAAACATAACACAGCGTAAATATAAGAAGCGGAAAGGCAACAGCCCGTCTCGGTGTAATATGCATTACGTTTATTAACCCTTTTTTGCTTTTTTTGCCACTCAAAACAAAAGTATTGGGTTTCTTTTGCTCCCAGATGGATAAATGCAAGGAAAAAGAAAGAGAAGAACAGAAGAAATACGTACAGGCACCTATGTACTATAGGGTTGTTCGGAAAGTCATTTCGTTTTTTTTTTGTGGAAATGAAAGACAGTTTTCGTATAATAAACAAATGCTTTATTAAATTATATATTGACCGTTCTGGTCCAACACCTTTTGCCATCTTTCTGGTAGTAGCATAATTCCACGCTCATAAAATTTTTGGTCTTTGCTGGCAAAAAACTGATCGAGGAGGTTTTTGACCTCCTCATTTGAGGTGAAGGTTTTACCGTCTAAAAAATTTTGGAGTGACCGGAACAAATAATAATCCGATGGTGCCAGGTCTGGAGAATATGGTGGGTGTAGCATTGTATCCCATTCAAGCTGTAAAAGCTTTTGGCGAGTGACCAAACTTGTGTGAGGTCTCGCGTTGTCTTGGTGAAACACTACACCTTTCCTGTTGATTAGTTCTGACCTTTTCTGTTGAAGTGCATCATTCAGTTTGTCCAGCTGATGACAGTAGACTTCCGAATTAATCGTTGTGTTATCCGGTAAAAGCTCAAAAAAAACGATTCCTTTAAAATCCCACCAAACAGACAGCATCACCTTTTTTTGGTGAATATCGGCTTTGGAAATGGTTTGAGCCGGTTCATCTTTTTTGCTCCATGACCTCTTGCGTTTGACGTTGTTGTATACAACCCATTTTTCGTCCCCAGTGATGATGCGCTTCAAAAACGGATCATTTTCGTGACGTTTGAGAAGCGAATCGCAGACGTCAATGCGGCGACACAGATTTCTCTCTGTGAGAACATGGGGAACCCATACATCGAGCTTCGAGGATAATCCCAGGCCTTTCAAGTGGTCATAAACTGTTGAATTTGATAAATTTAACCTCAATCCGATCTCACGTGTTGTTATTCGCCGGTTCACATCAACTAATGCCTTTATCGCGTCTTTATCAGCTTCAACCGGCCTTCCCGAACGTGGTGCATCTTCGACATCAAAATTGCCGGATCGAAATTTAGCGAACCAGTTCTGGCACTGGCGTACTGTCAACACACCTTCTCCATACACATCAGTCAATTTCTTTCTGGCTTGAACAGCATTTTTACCCTTTCTGTAGTAAAACAGTAAGATATGTCGAAAATGCTGCTTATCGCTCTCCATATTTAAAAGGGCACCAACCAAAAACTACTGCGTAGAATTAATTGGAATTTTTCACACACAAGCCTTGCTATATGAGCTCTCAAAGCATATAAAAATTATACGGCTTAAATGTGAAGTTGGGTGCAAAAGAATACAATTAAATCCTCTGTCGGGAAAAAACGAAATGACTTTCCGAACAACCCTATACATACATTTACATGCACATTATTCAAACGCGTCCGCTTTAAAAATGAACATGTAGGCGTGAAAATTTCACTTGGGGGATTTGGTTCAAGCACCTATTACCTCTATTACACGAGCGATTTTACGCATCACGCAGAAACGGAGCTTATGACTAATCATTTTTCAGTCCAGAGGTACTGACAGTCTCATCATAAGGTCGTCAGTCCTACGACTGGTTGGACACGCACTTACACTCTCTCCTATCCTGAGCTAATCTTCGCATTTTCGTAAAACTAGAACAT